GATAGATAGATAGATAGATAGATAGATAGATAGATAGATAGATAGATAGATAGATAGATAGATAGATAGATAGATAGATAGATAGATAGATAGATAGATAGATAGATAGATAGATAGATAGATAGATAGATAGATAGATAGATAGATAGATAGATAGATAGATAGATAGATAGATAGATAGATAGATAGATAGATAGATAGATAGATAGATAGATAGATAGATAGATAGATAGATAGATAGATAGATAGATAGATAGATAGATAGATAGATAGATAGATAGATAGATAGATAGATAGATAGATAGATAGATAGATAGATAGATAGATAGATAGATAGATAGATAGATAGATAGATAGATAGATAGATAGATAGATAGATAGATAGATAGATAGATAGATAGATAGATAGATAGATAGATAGATAGATAGATAGATAGATAGATAGATAGATAGATAGATAGATAGATAGATAGATAGATAGATAGATAGATAGATAGATAGATAGATAGATAGATAGATAGATAGATAGATAGATAGATAGATAGATAGATAGATAGATAGATAGATAGATAGATAGATAGATAGATAGATAGATAGATAGATAGATAGATAGATAGATAGATAGATAGATAGATAGAGAGAGAGAGAGAAAGAGAGAAAGAGAGAGAGAGAAGAAGAAGAAGAAAATGGAAATAGTGTAAGCAAAGGACATAGTAGAAAGCAGTAGTATTGTGTTCTACAGCATTTATGTGCCTGGAAGATTGATGATGTGTTTTGGTTAAACGTCTTGAACTGTCCCGATTGTTGTTGTTTGTGTTGTTGGTGTTGACGTTGTTTGTGTTGTTGTTGTTGTTTGTGTTGTTGTTGATGATGATGGTGATGTTAATGTAGTTGATGTTGTGGCTGCTGTTGATGTTAATGTTTTCAACGATGCTGTGGTTATTTTTCAAAAACTTAGTTATTGGTGGTAGTGTTTCAGTTTGAAGTGTTGGTGAGTTTTTAAATATTATTTTTGGTGTTTTTTGATTTTATAATGTTTGCATTTGATATTCTGGTGCTGTCATTTAGGCTTATTCTTCATATTATTGTCAATTTAACTATTGAGAACAAGCTATGCAAATTGAACAAAAATAACAACTTTTCACAAAAACCAATTCCCACAACAGTTGGAATGGACGACAAAAAGAAAAAGAAAAGACACAACAGCAGCGACAACAACAACAACAGCAGCAGCAAAAGCAGCAGTAACAACAATTTGCAACACCGCCCATGGTAATCCCACTCTTGATCATCCTGATTGCCATTACAAGATTCATTATCATCATACACCTCTCTCTATTTCACTCTCTCATTTTCCCTCTCTCATTTTAACTCTTTCTCTCATTTCTCTGACTCTTTCTGACACACACACAACTCACGAACAACACACATGCACACGCACACACACGCACACTCTCATTGTTTATTATCTTCAATTTTGAGCTATATACCTTTAAATTAAATGTACTTTATGTTGTACAAAATTAAACGAACAACTAATGGAATAAATTATTATTATTTGTAATTAATTCAATATATCATTTTTCAACAATTTTATACGTAATATTTCTCATAAGCATTAATGATAAACACAGTGTAAATAAACACACGTAAATCAACACATATCAGCATGTCTTAGCCAGGGATCTCTTTGCATTCAAACCCTGTCACTGCAAACCATTGCCAGGTATCTTAACCGTTACACCATTGCGCCGTTATATCATTCGTTATTAAAAAATTGTTCTCAACCCCTTATTTGTTGCCAGAAAAGTTAATAATAAAATCCAAAAACATTTTCCAATAATAATTTTTTAACAACCGATAATAACGACGTACATACTTCTTGCACATCACAATACAAAACAAACTACATTAAGCGAATCGAATGCATATAAATAAACATTAATCTTGTGTGTGTGTGTGTATATGTGTGAGTGTGTGTGTGTGTGTGAGTGTGTGTTGATGTATATGGGACACATATAAAGGGTGTGCGTGTTCGCATTTGTCATGTTTGGATGCCTACATTTACCACAAAAATTTCACAATAATGAATGCATTATTTACAGTTGGGATGTACGCAAAAAAATTACATTTAGGTCGTAACAAACAATCTAGCTTGGATTTCAAATTTCTAAATAATAATTTATTATTATTTTTTTTTAAATTTGAAAATTTGAAACTGGAAATCAAATGTGTGTGTGTGGTGTGTGTGTGGTGTGTGTGTGTGGTGTGTGTGTGTGTGTATTGATACAAATGTTCGCGTGTGGTTTATCATCAATTTACTTACAAAACCAATTTCGTCATTAACAGTAGGATGTTATGAAAGCAGCTTATAAAGCAAATCATATTGTTGTAACATCAAAATCTGTATTGTTTTTAACGTGGAGTTTGTTGTTGGTGTTGTTGATGTCGTTGCTCAGATTTTTGTTAATGTTTTTAGAATTATCTGTAAATATCGCTGCGTTGTTTAGAGTTTCAAAATTGTTAACATCATTCTTGTTGTTCGTGTTGTTGTTGCTGTCAATGAAGTCCTGTGGGGTGTTATTCGTCGTTGCGATGTCGTTGTTGCTGTTGCGGCTGATGCTGTTGAAACTATCGCTGCCGACGCCACACAATTTGTGGCCCATGCCGCTCCTGTTTGTGTTGTTGCGTCTGCTGTTTTCTGCCAAGTAACTGCTCCTCAATGTCTCCGCCCCTATTTTGTCGTCGTCCATATACTTCGGATACTGATGGTGTTGTTGTTGTTGTAAGTTGAACCCGCTATTTTGTCGAAAATGATAATAATATCTCATTTTGAAATCAAGATCATTATCAGGATCACTTCCGGTTGCATTGTCTTCATCTTCTTCCTCCTCGCTCAGGTTCATCGAGTCCGTTCTTTTCAGCGATCCTGGTGCTCCGTCCAGTCCGTCCATCATTTCTTGTTTCCGGTTTTCGGTCGTCATGTTGACAGCCATTTTCGAGAGAGCGTCATAACGGGACGCCATTTTAAAAATAGAGTCACTTCCGGTGTATTCGTCGGACGTGGAGTTTCTATCTAGTTCTGGGTCGTCGTCTATGTTGTCGTCATCTTCTTCGTCGTCGTTTTCCTCCACCTTTTCACGATCTTTGTTTCGATCTTCTTCCGGCATGCTACTTCCCTCAAACATGTCGGCTCGTTCTTCCTGTCGTTTTTTGGCTGACGCCATTTCTGCGGCGTGCTTCTTACGCCACTTCGTTCTTCGATTTTGGAACCAGACCTGAGTTTAATGGCAAGATATTTTACATCAGATAAATTGGGATGAAAAAACGTGGGTATACATTACATATATTTGCATGTTTGAATTCATATGTATTCATTTACAATATAAATTTGTGTGGTTGTTTGTTCAATGATATGTACATACAATTGGTTTTAATAAAAAAAAATAGTGAGGTTGTTTGTGCTGGAGCGCAAAAATATTGACCAATGTTGATAGAAGAAATGTGTCTCGAAATTGGTATAGCAACGAACAATGCAACGAACAACGCAACGAACAATGCAACGAACAACGCAACGAACAATTCAACGAACAACGCAACGAACAATTCAACGAACAATGCAACGAACAATGCAACGAACAATGCAACGAACAACGCAACGAACAACGCAACGAACACTTCAACGAACAACGCAACGAACAGTTCAACGAACAATGCAACGAACAATGCAACGAACAATGCAACGAACAATGCAATGAACAATTCAACGAACAATTCAACGAACAATGCAACGAACAACTCAACGAAGTTAAAATAAATAGAAGAAATTATTAAAATAACGATAAAGATGAAGACAAAATAAATGATGGTAATAATGTCAGTGAGATGATGACGATGATGATCAGTACATAATGTGATCACGTAATGTGATTATACAACGACATTGGGATTTATGCTGATGAAGTGGAGGACAATAAGGTGAGAGATGGTGATAATAAGGAAGGTGAGATGATGATGTCGACGATGTGAAATGATGAAACGAACGACGAACAAATGATGAAATGGATGATGATGATGATGAGGACAATGATGATGAAGAAGAAGAAGAGAGCGGTGATGATGATGATGAGAATGATGATGAGGAGAAGGAAGCGTGCATTGATGAAGACGGATGGTGGGGCTTAGTAACCTCAATTTCTTTCCAATTCACATTCATCAAAGAAGAAACGATCGTTGTCTTTTTGTGCCTATGTATGTGTGTGCTTGTATGTGTGCGTGTTTGTGTGTGCGTGTATGTGTGCGTGTTTGTGTGTTCGGGTTGCGATAGTTTTATGTGGCAGTAGATTTACGTTCATGTACAACTATTTGCATTTGTGTATACGTTTGAGCGTGTATGCGTTAAAATAAAGTATACACATCATGTTTTGTACAGAAGTGTACGAGTAAGAAAATGTGTGTGTGTGTGTGTTTATCAATTTTCCTCTGATATATACACCCATAGTTGTACGTGCATACATACAGATCGGTTTGCGCGAACGTGCGTGCGTGTGTTTGCGATGCAAAAGCCCGCGAACATCCACGTGACTGAAAGTAATGGCATCTCGCACGGCCGGGATCAAGAAGTTAATAGTATAGGGGCATTATTTTGTAATTTCACACGTTCAACCTCGAGCCTTCTTCAAGTTGCATGTGTCTGTGCGTGGTGTCGTGACGGTGATGGTTACGATAATGATGATGATGGTGGCCATGATGATGATGATGGTGGCCATGATGATGATGATGGTGGTCATGATGATGATGATGATGAAGATGGTAATAATGATGATTACATTAAATTTTATCGCGATATCGTTGTTGGTTATGATGATATTGATTGTTTCACAATTAATGACAATGCTTGGTTTTTTTGGCAACGAATAAAAAAAAGGCCGTGAAGTTGCTGAAAATGAGGAAGGCACCTATGATGATGAGGATGATGATTTAAGCTGGTGATGTTGATGATGATGGTGATCGGAATGGTGATGATAATGATGGTGATAATCAAAATGGTGATGATGATGATGATAGGAAGAACCCAGGTGAGAGACCGAAAAAATTAAAAAATCAATTTTGACGATGACGTGGATGAAGATAGATGCAGGAAAGTTGACGACGATAATGAATTACGAACGTTTATTACATAAATATTGGACTTGATGTTCAAGCAGCAGCAGCAGCAGCAGTAGAAGCGACAGCAGCAGCAGCAATCAAGCAGGACAGCTCAAAAAGCATTAAATTCTTATGATTTAAACCGCCATTCATTAAACTCTTCTGCATTTATTAATTCCTGTTTTGAATTGGCGTGCCTGAAGCTGAATAATTTTACAACAGCAACCCTCGTCAAACGAGATTCAATTTTGATGGATGAAATGGGAAATAAAAAGATGAACACATTTTCAGCTTTGCGTCGCATGACGAGCAGATTAGCACAAATACATTCCCACGCGTGCACAAGAAATACAGAACGACTGAGAATTTTATGACGTCATCAAATCGTGCAACACTACAAAACGGTTGCCACAAGAACTTCAGTCAGGTACAAATATAACAACAACAAAAACAAATAACATTGTAAAAAAAACAGGAGAACATTTGAAAAACATATACAAACAAACAAACAAACAAACACAAACACACAGACAAACAAACAAAAATCAACAAACAAACAAATTGTTTCGCCTAAAAGAAGAAAAATATAAAAAGCGAACACCAGACAAACGAACCAATAAAGAAAGGAGCAGGCAAGCGCGTATACAAAGAAACAAACAAACAGACAAACAAACAGACAAAAAAACATACAAACATACAATCAAACAAACATACAAACGAGCAAGGCTTATTATTGATGCATCAGTCGGCAACATTTTCGGCGTCATATTTGTCCGTACGTCGCCATTTAATCCCATCGGCGCACACACCGGCAAGCACTTGTTATGGCAGATCAGTTATAATAAGGTGTATCTATGCGCTCAATCTATGTCCATCCAGACGCACTCATACACACAAACACACGTGCACACTTACACGTACACACACACACACACACACACACACACACGCACATGCTAATGCATCCAGTATTCACGGGCACATACAAAGATACATACAAAAGCACATTTAAACATTTAAATTTTTTCGGAAAAAATAATGAGCGTGCCAACAGCCGGAGATCTGGCGAAATATTTTTGTATGTTTTTTGATGCATCGGTGCATGCCGGGATTATGTTATATTTGTCGCCAGAATATTTGTAACAACAACCACGATGATGATGATGGTGACGATGAGGAAAATGATGATGATTATGAAAGTAGTAAGAATGATGAAGAAGATGATGATGAAGATGATGACAAAAATGAGGATGAAGATGATGATGTTAAAAATGATGACAATTTTAGAAATTTTGACAGAAATGATGACCAGATGAATGATGATGACCAGAAGAATGATGATGACGTAGATGATAAAAGAAATTAAATAAAATATTTATTTATTCATTCACATATAACAATATGATATGTGTGAAATCTATCAAACTGAAAAACACACACATACATACATACACATATACTTATAAACAAACAAACACACACACAAACACATATATACATACAAACACACAAAACCAACCACAATCTTTCACACACCCACACACACTCAAGAAAAAAGTGAACGCATTAAAATGCAACACATTACATTATGTAAGGTAGCGTAATACATTACAACACGCATATCTTAAGAATTTCATTCGGGAGACAAAAAATGACGCGCTATATAAATAAACATTGTATATCATATAAATTATATATATATATGCCTATACGTATATATATATATATATATATATATATATATTTGTATTTGTATTTACGATGTCATCTTAACGCATAGGTTAATCGATCGCTGTATTTCATAATTGAGCGTAATATATATGCGCGAATATATTTGCGTGTTTCATTGTGCGTGCGTAAATGTGTGTGTGAATGTTTATGTGTATGTGTGTGTAAATGTTTGTGCATGTGTGGACTTGAATGTTTATGCGTATTCATGTGTATGGTGTGTGTGTGTGTTTGAGTGCTTACATTGGCTTGCGTGTGTGTGTGGTTATGTTATCTTAAATTTTATGTTGTTATTTATGTGTTTATATGTGTGTCTGTGTTTATACTATTATTATTATTGTTAACAACAACAGGCACATCAAACGCGGTGAATGTGCGTCGTGAATGTACGCATCACGTACACTGCATATGATAAGAGGGAATGATTTCCTTCGCGTTCGAATCCGATCACGGAAACGGCAGGACCATCATGAAGTCTTGGCGTCTATGTCTGTGAACGCGTTTTCGAACGTGTGTCTGTGTGTGTGTTTATGTTTGTATTTGTGGGCTGACTCATGCACGTGATGTGGTGGATATATAAATGTATTTGCATGTATGCATGTATGAAAACAACCAAAAAGATCGGGTAGGCATTTTTTTGTCTTTGAATAAAAATTCGTTTTTGAAGAATATTAACAAAAAATGGTCTGCTTAGTTGTAAATATTATAGAAATTGAACTTCAACGATTCATCATTCGTCTGTGTAGGACATTCATCTTAACAACCATCCATCCATCCATCAGGACATCAAGAACTCATGGATAGATACATAGATGGACGGATGGATGGATCTGCTTAGCAAAATTTGCACCCCTCTTCATCGCTTAATAATTCATCAAAAATAAAATACAATTAGCTACTTTTAAAGGTAATCTACATTCAAATAACAAATAAACACATGCGTACGTGCACACACACACACAAAAACGAACGAACGCACACGCACGCACAAACATTCAGCTGAACATGTAAACAATAAGATAGAGGAGAACAATGTCGAACAATTAAGAAATTGCAGCGAAGTTCACGGTCAGGTCACGTGTTTTTTGATTGACCAATGAACGAATGAATGAGTTGACCGCTGATGACCATGCTGATGACAACGACGATGATGATGAAGATGGAAAAAGGCAGACGTCTAATTTTTTCCATTGATTATCGAGCAAAAAACTTACTGGCAAAAATAATCATAAGAAGAAAATATGATCATCACAAGCATCTTTACCATCATCATTAGTTTCTTTTTTTTTCATGGTCGTTGTAATCATCATCATCATCCTCACCATCGCCATCATCATCATCATGACGAACCTCATTATCTTATCCACATAACAAGGCAGCCCTAATCAACATAAAAGAGCCATCAATCATCCAACAGACCCCGCCCACACTAAGTACGTAAATAATGAGACGCTTGTTTTCATTTTTGCCAATGACGTATGTATGTGAGCGTGCCTATTTCCGTGTTTCTTTATGTTTGTGTATGTATATGCGTGCATGTCTGTGTGTTTGTATATTTGTATGTGGTTGTATACCTGTTTGTTTGTATATCTGTCTGTATGTATGTGTGTTTGTATGTGGTTGTATATCTGATTGTATATCTGTCTGTCTGTATGTGTTTGTATGTTTGTATGTGGTTGTATACCTGTTTGTTTGTATATTTTTCTGTATGTATGTGTGTTTGTATGTGGTTGCATACATGTTTGTTTGTTTATCTGTCTGTATGTATGTGTGTTTGTATGTGGTTGTATACCTGTTTGTTTGTATATCTGTCTGTATGTGTGTGTTTGTATGTGGTTGTATATCTGATTGTATATCTGTCTGTCTGTATGTGTTTGTATGTTTGTATGTGGTTGTATACCTGTTTGTTTGTATATTTGTCTGTATGTATGTGTGTTTGTATGTGGTTGCATACATGTTTGTTTGTTTATCTGTCTGTATGTATGTATGTTTGTATGTGGTTGTATACCTGTTTGTTTGTATATTTGTCTGTATGTATGTGTGTTTGTATGTGGTTGCATACATGTTTGTTTGTTTATCTGTCTGTATGTATGTGTGTTTGTATGTGGTTGTATACCTGTTTGTATATCTGTCTGTATGAGTATTTGCATGTCTGCATGTGGTTGTATACATGCTTATTTGTATATCTGTCTTATGCGTGTGTGTTGTCTGTGTTTGTATGTGATGTACATTTGTTTGTATCTCTGTTTGCAGCACTGCACACACAGCATGGAACTGCTTACATACATGATATGTGCGAGAGACAGACATACACGGTTGTTAGTGTCCACTTTTGAAAGGCATTAATGAGAGTTAGACGAAAGAAATTGTGACAAATTAGAGATTTTCTTATTAATATAAATGCTGTAATTTCCAACGTGAAAACTAAAAAGCCGGCTTAATGTAGCATAAATTTTGACAAAAAAATGTTTTGCTAATGAGAAACTTAAATTAAAATTCATTGAATCATGCTTAAGAAAATTTTTGCGAAACTGTGTGATATTCATTTTGAAGACACCGCAGTTCCGTAACTGTCCATGACTGCTATTCATCCCAATCACATTCGCTTCATCACCATCATCGCAATTATCATACTCATCATCGTCGTCGTCATCACAATTGCATCATCATCATCGTCGTCTTCGTTGCCATCATCATCATCACCTCATTTTCGACATTCGTCAGGCATGTCAGTACTTGAGTGAATGCAATTACAATTCATTTCGCTCAACCAAAAATCATCATCATCATCGTTAAAGCAGTCATCATTATCATCATCCTCACTTTATCTAGGTCATCATCATCATCATCATCTACAACAACATCAATGGGTCGTCATCGTCATTAACACAATCAATTTTTAAACAACTTCTTTGTTAATAATTTTTTCATCGTCATCATCATAATCATTATCCTCATCATCATTATCGCCATCACTATCATCATCTTCCTCCCTATCATCATCATCATAATTAATATTTAGCTAATTCATTTTTCCTTGCTTCCATCATTTGTAATCACTCACCATCATCGTCATCCTCCTCATCATCGTCATCGTCATACAGTGTCATCATCATTACATTACATAATCCACATCATCATTTTGTCATCATTTCTTCGGCAACGTCTGCCATGAAACCGAAAAACATACCGCCGTTACTGTTAACGAGACGAAACGAAACGAGACGAAACGAGATTTATTTTGCAACAAAAAACACAAACAGTAAATGCTACAAAGTTGACCAGAATAAAAATTAAGAATTCTGACTGTCTTATGATTGCATCATCGTCATCGCCATTGTCATCAACATCATCGCCATCATCATCATCATCATCTTCTTACCTTCTCATTATCATCATCATCATCATCGCGTACGTCCAATAAAATGTATTTGTTTACATTTTCGTGTGTCAGACTGTCGATGCCGTTTAGTAACGCACAATAATAATAATAAAAATAATAATAATAGTAATAATAATAATAATAATAATAATGATGATGATGATGATAATAATAATAATAATGATGATGATGATGATAATAATAATGATGATAACAGAAATAATAACAATAAATACAATTATTATTGTTGATATTGTTTAAGGTACGTAATTATTTTTCAGTCAAACAATCAATTCAAAGCAAATGAACATTTAACATCCAATCGCAATAAGGGAAAATTCTTGGGCATTTGTTGAATTGTATGTATAAATGTGTTATATACATGTATAAAAAAGTACATACATAATATACATACATGTATATATATATAAATATACATACATACATGTATATATATATACATACATGTACGTATATATATTTGTATGTGTATGTATAGATGTATGATGATTGTATATTTGTGTATAAAACAGTTGGGGCAATTAGATCGACACCACAATCAATTACCATCTAAACGTGTAAACAAATCTGGAGATGCAATATTATTGTTTGCATCGCTTGTTTATTGTGCGTGTATGTATGTGATGTGTGTGGTTGTGTGTGTGTGTGTGTGTTTATAAGCTTGCTTATGCGCGCGCGCGTGTGTGTGTATGCATGAGGGCATGTGTTTAATTGTTATGTTTGTATGAGTGCGTGCGTGTGCGTGTGATTTTCTCTATATTTGCTCGTTGATGAATGATTGCTGTTGCAAAGTGAGAATGCAAGCTGACGGTTGAAGAATTTTGTGCTGATGACTTCGATTGTAAGATAGGATTCATAATTATTTCTTTTTTATTTAAAATTAAGCGAAAGACCTATGAGAAAGAAGAGTTTGTTAACTGCATTTTAATGTTTTAAAAATGTTTGAACGTTCAACCATTACCAAAACGTCCTTTGTTGTAGTTGAAGAAAAATTATCAATCGAAGGATGTCCGTTCACGAGGTAGGATGACGATTAGGCAGGAGTCTGTCTATGCAACTCTCAAATTGTTCGAGTTTCTCGAGCTACGATTAAATGTTTGCTTTCAATGAGAAGTTTGAAAGATGGGCGGCCATGGATGTTGCAGCTGCTCCAGTCGGCATCTGCAACCAACTGATGTTGTCGCATAATGGTGGAACATTGTGGCACAACAATGTATGTACATACAAGTATACAAGTAGCCTTGAGTCTATAGACAAATACATCCAGACATCAAATATCAAGGAAAAACACATAAACCATAGATACAAAAAGCCACACCATTTACACAACATAGATACAAACAATAACAATACATAGAAACGCAACTTGCAACCTAGACGCAAACAAAAGCAGAACATAAATACAAACAACAACAACACACAACATAGACACACCCAACATAGATACACAAAACATAAATACATACAACCATAGATACACACAACACACAACATACATAGATACACACAACACACAACATAGATATGCGCATACACCAAAACACCCCTTCATATCTCACCTTGACTTGACTCTCCGACATTCCCAGTGCAAATGCGAGTCTGGCTCGTTCAGGGCCTGCCAAGTACTTCGTCTGCTCAAAAGTTTTCTCCAGGGCAAAAATTTGATGTCCCGAAAAAGTTGGGCGCGTGTGTTTCTGCTTGTTGTTTGGATTGTTGTCGTCCTTGTCGTCGATGCTGCTGCTGCTGTGGTGAAATCAGGACTGATTTTTGATGTGGTGCAAATGTA